AGAAGAACAAACTGGGGAGGAGGGTGGAGAGAATGGTGCGGCAATGAAGGAGTGAAAGCCCAGAATCCCTGTGAATGTTCATTGAAACTAATAAAATTTAATAATAATAAAAAAAAAGGAAAAAAAAAGAGACCTCAGTTTGCTCTTTGATAGTATTCTGGCTGTGTTACTTCCTGGAACTATTATCCTGAGCAAGTTTCTTACTTCTCTGAATATGTTTGCTGTGTATAAAGTGTATTAATATTATCTGCTTCAAAAGACTGCTGTAAGAACAAATAAAGATTGTTGTTGTTATGTGCCGTCAAGTCATTTGCGACTCATAGCGACCCTATGTACAACAGCCCTAAACCCTGCTCTATCCTGTGCCAACTGCATTGCCTCTGACACACCCATCCCAATTACCCCAGTCACTGCATCAATCCACCTCATAGAGGGTCTTCCCCTCCTGCGCTGTCTCTCCACCCTACCAAGCATGATGTCCCTCTCCAAGGACCCGTTTCTCCTTACAACATGTCCAAAGTATGTCAGATGCCTACAGGTATGAAGACCCAAGGTGGAGCATAAAACAGCTGGGAGGAGCAAAGGGGAGACTGAGGGACATGTCGCTGGCAGAACCGGGAGCCTGGAAGCCACGAGAGCAGAAGTTGAGGCCAGGCGACACAGAGGCAACTCCAGCAATAGCTTCTGACACGCCTACAGATACGAAGCCCCAAGGCAGGAGCCTAAAAAAACGGCTGGGCCCAGGGCCAGGAGTTCTACAGGACACATCACCTTCCCTTCAAAGAGAGTACAACTAAATTTAAGAGACACTGGACACAGAAAAAAAACCCAAACCTGTCAGCAGTTGATGTGTTTGGAATCACAGGAGCCAAGAAAGCTTCAGATACAAACTGTCAGGTCATGGGTCTGATAAGGGGAGATTAATTCTGAAGGCATTTGGTAGAAGTGAAGGGGTATCCTGGTGGAGGATGGAGCTGGGAAATAAGTGGGTCAAGGCACTGGGCTAAGGGCAGGGACTACACTGTAACTAATGGTTAACTCCACAATGAGGGATTTATCTTTCACTGCTCCACAAATTACTGTCTGTCAGATACTCCTAAACATTAAGATTAAGACAGACGAGGAAGAAGGATTGGCCATCCACTTCTGAAATAGCAGGCCTCTGAAAACCCTATGTACAACAAATAAAGATTATGAAAATAAAAAAAAGAAAACCAAAAAAACCCCCACCATAAATGATGACTATTCACAATGACCACAACTGGTCAGAATGAGGACATCTATGAAAACAGACATTGGAGAAGCTCAATTTCCAAAGTAAAAACCAAACCAGGGGCTGACTGTAGAACAGACCATCAGTGAATTCATATTAAGTTCAAACTGAAGTTGAAGAAAATGAAAACAAGTTCTGGAGAACATATGACCTTGAGTGCGTCCCAAATGAACTGTGTAGCAGATGCCTATTAATTGCAAGTTGTTCTAATGAGGCAAATCCAACCTTTCTCCCAATATTGTCCATTATGACAGCTCTATCTGAATGCAAATCCAACCTTTCTCCCAATATTGTCCATTATGACAGCTCTATCTGAATGAAGTAATTATATATTATACATTATCCATTATCATAGTAGTACATTATACATCATAGTGTACTACATATACTATGCCTTCTAGTGTTAGTTGAATGCCTACTGTGTTCCCTTTATTGTCTTACACACTAGAGATATAAAATAAGCAGAAAAGCAGCTCTCATATCAAAGAGTTCAAGAGGTCTAGAGCAGCTAACATACTGGACAACCGAGGTATAGAGCGTACCTAACCTTATTTCAAAATTCATCTCAACCAGAAAACCTTCCTGATAAGTAACCACTTCTCTTATTCTGTGTTCAGTCTTCATTCATATTAATTTTGCTTTGTATGTTGTATAATGATCTTTTTTTATTTATTTATTTGTGTGTGTGTGTGTGTGAGTGTACCGTCAAATCAGATCTGACTGGTACAGGAGGGGATTGTCCCTCCTCTTCCCGGCAGAGCATCTGGTGGATTCGAACCGTGAGCCTCTGGGATTGTAGTTGCAGCTTCTTGCCACTAGGCCACCAGAGCTCCCCTGTATAATGATCTTTTAGGGAGCTCTCATGGCCTAGTGGCAAGAAGCTGTGCTGCAATCCCAAAAGTATGCAGTTTGAGGCCATCAGCTGCTCCATGGGAGAAGGATGGGCAGTCTCCTCCCCTGCAATTAACTGCCTCTGAAAACCCACCAGAGAGTCAGCTATGGGTCAGTTCTGACTTGACAGTAAACAACAACAACAACATAGTGATTTTCTAGTGTTTATAAGATTTTCTTCCCCTAATTAAATAAAAAATTCATAGACAAAATATTCTGATTATCATCCTCCTCCTTTTCTACACAATGTCTTACATGGTGCTTAAAATCCAGAAGATGCTCAATAAAGATTATTTTTATATCATGTACTTTCTTTGTTAACTTCCCAAACCGGTGGTAATATTTGCTTAAGGCAGACAAACTTTTTGAACTGGGGTTAGCACTTACTTGGAAAATATTTCTACAATAGCCGATGACTTGTTCTTGTTGACAAGAGAAAGTTCCTTGGCTGTGACCCTCAGTGACGTTGATGCCCACTGCCGTCTATTAAATGACATGGGTTCCATCTTGTCTATAGAAACTGAAATACCTATGCAACAAAGAAAATAAAAATATTAGCCATAAAAGAAGATCCCCTAGCATCCCATAGCTGGCAGCAATGTGGTGTGAGAAAGCAGAGTGATAGGCTAGCAGTTCATATTCTACAGGTTCTCTCAAAAGCCAACTGTGTAATCTTGGTCAAATGTATCAGTGTCTTTGAATTGTAGTTTCCTGTAAAATAAGAAGACCAAACCAGATGATCTCTGAGGTCCCTTCCAGTTCCATCATCCTGTGACTGACCCTACTGTGCAAACATCAATTGGCCTTTCTCTGAACTTAAGCCTGTGCCAAAGTCACATGTGGAGTGAAATCTTCCCCTCTTCTGACTCATATTCTGGGGAAGGCAGAATCACCATCTTGGCAGAATCGGGTTCAAACTGGCCTTTATCTACACCCAAGTTCCTTCTGGCTGTTGTTCTCACTCTTCAAGCTCTGCAACACTGACCACAGGGTTAGGAAGAGAGATGGAACCAGAGCATGGTATAGAGAATGAGGATTGCAAGGGGAGGAAGACATCTTTTAAAATCATAACTGTGCTGCCTTGAACAAAGTATATTAAATTTTCTGTTTTCATTTTCTCAGCTGAAAATTGAGGATAATACTTACCTTTCTAGGGTTCTGAGGTAGATAAAAGGAGATAATTTAAAATACTAAGCACATGATTTTGTTGTGTACTGTCGAACTGATCCACAGTTGACCCTCCAGTGGATTTTTAGAGGCAGTAAATTAAAAGGGAAGAGAGAGCCCAACTTTCGACCACAAAGCAGCTAGTGGATTTGAACCGTGCACCTTTGTGATAGCAGTGCAATTCCTTACCACTAAGCCACTGAAGCTCCCTGGGTACACAACAGTAGCATAAAAACTCTCACTCAAACTTACTACTGTTGAGTTGAACGCAACTTTTAACTGACCCTCTGATGGGTTTTTGAGACTATTTTCAGACAGGAGGCAAATGCTCATCATTCTCCTGTAGAGTTGTTGGTGGTTTGAACTCCCAGAGAGGCATGCCCTTTGGATAAGCAACTCAGCTCCCTATGGACTACAGTACCTGAGCTCCTCATAGTACTCTAAAGAGTAAATAGAATAAGTTCATATTGACTCTTGTTATGCTTTAAATTCTTTTAAAATATGTTTACAATTAAAGGAGCCTGGTGGTGCAGTGATTAAACAGCTCAGCTGTTGGAACCCACCAGGTTATCCTCGGAGAAAGAGCTGTCTGATTTGACAAATACTAACAGGCTTGGAAATACTAATGAGCAGTTCTACTGTATCCTACAGGGTCACCATGAGTTGGGAGTCAATGCTGGGGCAGTGGGTTTATGCTTTCTAACAAGTGGGGAAAGATTAATGTACAGGTTGTTGTTGTTGTTGTTATGTGCTGTCGAGTCGCCTGCGACTCATAGTGACCCTATGTACAACAGCCCTAAACTCCGCTCTGTCCTCTGCCAATCGCACTGTCTCCGACACTCCCATCCCAATTATCCCAGTCACTGAATCAATCCACTTCATAGAGGGCCTTCCTCTCCTGCGCCGTCCCTCCACCCTCCCAATGTAAAGGTAGTCCCCAAATTATAAGCAAGTGCTGTTCTTAAATCTGTTTTTAAGTCAAAAGTTTAAAACCCAGAACAGGTATGATTCACATCTAGTTTTAGTTAGTCAAAAGCTTATCTTTGTGTATAGTGTACCTTTCCAGCCATAAAAACATTAAAGATCTACAACCAGGAGAAGATAAAATAGATGAATGAGATCTTCTAAGAATCAAATCTCCATGCACATCCAGAAACTTCTCCAACAGGGTAAAAAGGGAAGCCACAGACTGGGAAAATGTATTTGGCAAAGACATGTCAGATAAGGGACTTATACCTAGAATGTATAAAATCCTTGAGCACCACAACAAGATAAAGATAAACAATCTAATTGAAAAAATGGGCATACAATATGAACAGACACTTCACCAAAGAAGACATTCAGATGGCCAACAAGCACATGAAGAAATGTTCAAAATCCCAAGCTCTAAGAGAGATGCAAATCAAAACAACTATGAGATATCATCTCATCCCAGTCAGAATAGCAAAATTTAACAGAACAGCAAGCAACAAATGCTGGTGAGGTTGTGGAGAAACTGTAACCCTTATTAACTGTTGGTGGAAGTGTGAAATTGTGCAACCACTGTGGAAAGTGGTGTAGCGCTTTCTCAAAAAGTTGCAAATAAAAATACCATTTAACTCAGCAACTCTACTACTGGGAATATACCCCAAAAAGACAATAACTGATACTCAAGCAGACATATGCACACACATTTATCGCGGCTTTGTTCACAATAGCAAGGAGTTGGAAACAATCTAAGTGCCCATCAACAAACAAATGGAAAGAGAAGCTGTGGTAGTATAGTCACACAATAGAATACTATGCGGCAAAAAAAAAAATTTTTTTTTAAAAAAAGAATACTATGCTGCATTGAAAAACAAGGAATTCACGAAATATTATTCAAAATGGGTGACCCTGGAGGACATTATCTCAGTCACAAAAGGACAAATACTGCATAGTGCCACTGCTGTAAAACAGGACTGACATCGGGGTTAGGGGGAGACTGAGAAAGATGGGATAAATAATGTATACTTCATTGAAACAGATGAGGGAGAAAACTCTTTAAAAGGGATATGTGATTAGGTATTATTGTCATGACAGGAGTCCAGAATGAAGGCTGCATAGTGGACTTGGGGGGAGGGATTGTAAGACAATAAAATAATTTTTCTTTTGCTTTTCAAAGAGAAGAGTGAATTGAGGGGAGGGAGGGGTGGCCAGGGAGAAAAGTGCAACAATGAATGAATAGAAATCCTCAGTCTCTTTTAAATTTCATTAAAATTAATAATTAAAATTAAAAAAAAAACATTAAAGAAACACAAAAACATCTTTTAACATAAAAATAGTAAAAGTATTTAATAATAATATTTTGGTGTACATTACAAAGTAGAATCCATTGTTATTATGAGCCACTGTGTGTACCTCAACATGTTAATATAACAGGCTGCTGTAACATAGGTTGTATGTAAGTTAAAAGTTTGTATCATTGGGCCCGCTTGTATTTTAAGTTCAAGGGATAAATTTCTACCCTTAAATTATTTTATAAATCCTTCAGCTCAAATAATACACAATCAGGTCCAGCACATCACCTAGTCTCTACCCATTTTCTTCCCTTCTTAGCCTTGGTAATTATCACAGAACTCCCAACCTTTGTCCAGAAGAGGTGAGAGTAGACATGAATCAATAGTTTTCTTATTTGAAGGGTGAAAAATGTAGATTAGCATACTACTTGCTGCTCTCTTGACAACCACAGGATAAAACTAATCCGGTAGAATGTATGGCTCAGAAAGTACTGCTCTCAACTCCCTTGACAACAACAGAATACACTGTGTTCTTAACCAAGCAATTGAAGTTGCTGCTCCACATTTCAAAAATTTCTAAAACAGGAAAGTTCTGTGAGGCAAAGCAAGTAATCAAAAACTCAAACTCCCAGATGCTCTGCTGGAGAAGGAGGGGCAATCTCTTCCTGTGCTATTCACATCTGACTTGACGGTACACAATAAGGAAAAAACAAAACAAACCCCTCAAACTCATTGCCATTAGGTCGGAACAGACTCATTGTGGACCCTCTGCTGGATTTCCAAAGCTGTAAAGTGCAAAGGACTAGACTGCTCATCTCTCTCCCATGGAGCTGCTGGAGGATTTAAACCGCCAGAGGCACGGCCTTTGAGTGAGCAGCACAACTTCCTACAGGCTCTGCCACCCAAGTTCCCTGAAGTACGTCACAGGACAACCTTGAAAGACTGTATTAATTTTCCATATGTGGTATTTAATCTTGCAAATAAAACCTCATCTGGAAAACAATGCCACACTTGTTATTTGTTTGCTTGTTTTAACCTTGTTAAACCTTGGAAGACAGCAAGTTATTGTTGGGAAGCATCAAGTCTATGTGGCAGAGCAGAGTCGCCACTTAAGTCTTTTTTCTAGGCTTTCATCTTAGGCAGCACTGGTGGCCTAATGGCAAGAAGCTGTGCTGCAATCCTTAGGGCACATTGTTCAAGGCCCCCAGCTGCTCTGTGGGAGAAGTACAGGGAATCTCCTCCTTTGTGATTAACTGCCTCTGAAAACATGCAGGAGGGTCAGCTATGGGTCTGTTCCGACTCTACGGTGGTATGACAACCACCTTTACGGAAGCACATCACCAGGTCTTTCTCTCACTGAGCTACTAAGTAAGTTTGAAATGCCAATCTCTGATGAGCAGTTGAGTGGTTTACTGTGCTTCCTGAGCAATGCTGAAGAGCAGTCCCTGGGTGGTGCAAATAGTTAATACTTACCTGGTGATTTGAACCTACCCAGAAGTGACTCAGAAGAAAAGTCTAGCAGTTTACTTTTGAAAAATCAGCCACTGACAAACATACAGGGAACAGTTCTATTCTGAACTAAATAGGTTACCATGCTCAGTTAATGGTAGCTGGTTTGGCTTTAATGGTGAGCAGTCTGAGGTTAGAGACAGATCTGAATACAAATCTTGGCCCCATCACTTAAAGCTCTGGAGCCATTACCTAAAACTTAGGTTTCTCATCCATGGTAACAATGCTTTACTCTTGTGAGTATTACAGAGCTCTGATAGCATAGTCACTAGTGCACTGCACTTCCAATCAAAAGGCCTCACGTCTCTATCATTTAGAATCCACCAGTGGCTCTTCTAGGGAGAGATGGGCAGACTCTTCTCAATGAGATTTACAGCTTAGGACACCTGCAATGGGGTTGCTCTGAGTAAGACTCAACTTGATGGCAGTAAGGATTAGTTTATGGGTATTAAATAAGATAAAGAAAAACTAATGTCAAGGACTGCAGTCTTCAATATGCATTGAAGCTCAACATCAAGAACATAAAAATTCTCACCACTGGGCTAATTGACAGCATCATGATGGAGAAAAGA